GCAAAACATGAGTGGACACACTGATATTTTCGTGAAATTTTTCCACAATAACCGTTACCAAATGCTGTATATTGTACTCTACGTCATACTTTCCTCAACTGGTATTCTTTCACAAGAGGTAACGATACAAATAAAAATATTCCATTGCAGGAGAGCTTTTCATATGTAATTGCGCAATATGAAAGGGAAATAGCGGACTACCAGCTATTTTGCGCTAACGAAACCAACATCGATATCGAGATACTACAAAATTTACTGCAAAATGGCGTATATGATGACAATAATGACAAGCTTAAGTGTTTTTTAAAGTGCATTTACTTAAAGATCAGGATTTTTGATGAAACAGGTTTGATAAATAAATTGGAAATGAGAAAAACAGCGGGAACTCAATGCTAAAATATAAAGTGCAGTAATTGAAAAGTGCCAGATAACAAATTCAAACCTGTGCCAGCAAGCGTTTGAAATGTGTAAATGCACATACTTTACTGTCAAAATGTTTGATACCAGAAAATAGGTTAATTCGTGAAGTGGACGGAGTTGCACCACTACATGCTTCTAATGTTTATATAATAAAACCATAGAAATAGCGCAAGTGTATTAAAGTCACTAAGATTTGTTGTAAAATCCTTCTTTTTCCTCTTCTTGCATATAAAAATGTATTTTCAGAAAGGACTTCACTTTAGTTCGATTATCTCTCAAATCGTTTACCCATAAAATTTATTACATTTAAATTAAATCAGCTTATCGAGCAATATGAAGTTAGGAACATAAAAGCGAACTGGTTCCATCAGTGGCAAAACATAAGCGTAAATGAATATTTGAACCAAAAATATCGGAACACTTCCATTCGAAAATGGCAACAATTCTTTTTTAAATTGCAATAATTTCGAAAGGAAACAGTGTAACGGCCATTCTAGCCAAAACTGTATCTTTTTCCTAAAAATATAACAATTCCAATAAACAAACAATGACGTTTCAACCCTGCGTGATACTACTAGTATCCATTGTTGCAGTACAGCATTCAAAACGACGGACACCGCCTTCTGTTTTGCCGGTACTTTGTTTCCAGAAGGAGTGGGCAGGCATAAATAAAATTCCGAATGGATATCTGTTGGCGTGAGGCATCAGTCGCGGTACCAAAAAAACCAGGAAGACTGGCATCTCACGTTTCTTCAGGTTCCCATCGCGCTGCTATGATTGGCTACTGTCATTTCTTTTTACTTACTTTATGTGAGCAGGGTTATCCTTATTGCGTAGTGGTGACATTGTCGAACATATATTTTTCCGGATGTTAGGGTGTTTTAGAAAAGGAACGACATTATTGTCAGTATAATTTATATTTATATTTATTTTGTAAACTACGACTATATGATTACTAGGGCGTTGTTTATCCTTAGATAGGGTAAATTCCGTCCTTAAACTTGACGTAAGCGATTTACATTTTTAATAGACATTTTTTACAGTATAATACGTGCAATTACTAATATCGAAAGCTTGTTCGCACAGGTTGGCATTTCTAAACTGACATTTTGAAACTACCATGTCCTGAACTTCCAAATTTTCTGTTCCCGAAGTTTTTCTCATTGTCTCTTCACTAATTTTACCAGTTTCGTCAAATATTTTCAATTTCAAATACAGGCATCGTAAACAACACTTCAAGTTATCGTCGATCTTGTCATAAACACCATGGTTCAATAAACTCTCCAATTTATTTGGTTTTGTGTCCGTTTCTTCGAGGCAGATATCTCTGTATTCTTTAATTGTATCTTGATATTGAGAAATAACCGCAGCAAACTTGCCCTAGGTAAGCATAGCGATTAACCATGTGGAAAACATCATAAATATATCTACCTACCCGAGCCTCACAATTTGCAGAAATAAAAATAAAACACAACACAATTCGCATCATCTTAGGTCACTTAATAACAATATCGGCGCAGGGGTAACCTTTATACCACGATATACGTCCACTAGTAAATAATGATAACTGTTATGACCTTTTTTCTTTGTGGAATCGGTTCTACAATGCATACAATCTTTAGGTCATATAATAATTTGTAGTGATTCAGAACTTCCTGATCAATAGGTAATTTAAAACAAAGTGATCATTAATTGCATCAGCATCTATTTGAAGATTGCTAAATTCATTTTGACGGCTATCCTTTATATGCAATCGTTTGAGTTCGGACCATAATTGTTTGGAATTTTTTGTTTGAACAATGAACTTAAAATAGGCTCGCTTTTCAGATTTAATTGCATTGTTAGTCATATTTCACAGCTGCTTAGAATAATTCCAGCTTTCCCCAGAAGGATTATGTGTGTGCCTATTTTTAGCTTTATCCCGTAAATTCATTAAAAGCCTAACATTGCCAGGGTAATGGTTTTCTGGAAAACGCTACTCTACACCAGGGAGCATGTTTATCGAATAAGGCAATTATGCAGTTATCGAAAAACTGAATCTTGTCATTGAGATTTGCCAAGTTGGTACAAACGTTCAAGAGATAAGTTCTGCAACTCTTCATAAAACAAAACAGTATTGAAGCGTTTATAGTTGAAAAGTATGAATAGTAGGCACTTTTTGTGTAGAGGGAAATAATACATCGCAAAATATCAGTTCATGCTTATAATGCTTATAATTGAATCATCTGAGACAATAATGAGACCCAATAAAGCAGCTTTGTGTAAACCAATTCTAGTAAGCTTAGAGACTAACTGCTTTAAATTAAACTACTCAAGAGAATTAGCTAGGAAGAGGGATGTACCTGGATGATCAAGATCTGAAAGGTCAATATTACAGTCCCCTAAGCAAACAAAATCGGCGGCCAATGACGAGCACAGAATAATCGAATCTTCTAATTCGTTTACAAATCCTTTGTAATAATGATTGGGGGGCCTGTAAGTAAACTACACCGACAACAATTTTAACACCTTTTCCGCTTACCAAACACCACAGTTCTTCAATATTGCCAGCTGTCTTTATTAAAGTCATACTTAATCCCTGCTTATAGTACCAAGCGACCCCGCCACCCCTGGTCGGACGATCATTCAGTAGTATTTTAAAATCGTCAAATTCCAAAACGTTAGAATTAATTTCACTTGTCAGCCAGGTTTCCGAAATGGCCAAAATATCTAAACTATGCATGAAGATTTTCTCTTTTACATCGGATAATTTAGGGACTAATGAACGTACATTTATATGCCCAATTTTTATATTCCTGTGCGACCTGCCTAAAACAAAACAAATTAATTAAGGTGACAATACACAAAAAGAAAAAAAATTGAATTGATTAATTATGCTTTAAAAATTAAAAAAAAATAAAATAAGATGTGCGCTCTAGAAAATGAGAATAATTTTCCGGCAAAAGTTTGCATAATTTAAGGTGAGATATGGCAAGGTAATCTAAATTAAATTAACATTACATTCGCAAAACAGGAGAAAACATGAACTAATTAAACTTCGGGACATCATTTAAATCAGCGTCAGTAGTCATCAGCCGTATTTGGTTATTAATTTTACAATACAATTTGCCATCCCTGGACCAGCAGTTCTTGTCCCCAACCTTGCATAGTAACTCTCTAAACAAGGATAGTCGTTCCTTAGTTAGATCTTCCTTGCTAACGACGGGCGTCCCCTAAAGAAGGTTCATATCCTTTAAATTTATAATTATAATCGGATGTGGTTTGTCACCAAACTTCCCAAACCGATGCAGGCGGTCTATATCACCTTTATCCAACTTCTTCCCCAACCCATTCTTGTATTCAATAGTGAGATAACCTTGTTCGTTAAAACTTCGTTATCTAATTTACGATTGAGCACAGTAGTTTTTTCCCACACTTTTTCATCGACGTAGGTTTTAAACTTTTCAAAAATCCTCTCGGAAATACTGGTAACCAACTTGTTGAAGAAGTCTCCATCTTCCAGCAGACCCTCGACTGCACCTGCCACTGCATTATTAATTTCACAAAGTTGCGTTTGTTCCCGTGTTTGAGGCATATCAATATATAGTAGAAATCGGAAAATTTGAATGACCCAAAATACAAGTATGAAATTGAGCGAGCACACAACAACTCGTCGTGTGCGCCAAAGACAAAATTTGCAACGTGTTGCATACTAGGTTTTTTTGTAATTTCGTCAAGAAATTGATAAAATGTGAATTATTATAATGGGGAAAGAACTTTATTTTAAGATTGAATACTCATGTAGAATGCAGAATAGTTCTTGGACCAGGAGTTCACAAACATTAAACGATGAACTGGCAGTAGAAGATTGTCCTTCTTACAGGAATTACTTGAGGATGAATACAATCAAAAATTCCTCATAATCTGTTAAAAGTTACTAAAATTTGAAGGAAAAATGGAACAGGCTCTAAACATTATAAAAATAGGACAACGTTAGGTTCCTAAAATAATTACAAAAAAATTGATCAAAGTTGATGCATGAAATGTTCATTTTTTTGTTCCTAAAAAAGATTTAAAAATTGACTAAATAAGTGATCGTTGCAAATGGGTGTAAGTTATAAAAGAAAATGATTATTGTATGTGGAGACTATAATGTAAATTTTGTAGGTTCGAAGTCAGTCTCACCAAGTGTTTTAAACCTCAGTTGTTTCGGCGCGTAATTTTAAAATCATACAAGTACAATCGGGCACTCGGGCGGAGTCGCGAAAACACTTTAAAAATGAAGAGAGAAGGGGAGATAGAAGTTCTATGTGCGAACCAGTAAAGCATGTAGGAGTTTTCACGTGCATTTTATTCATTGAAAAAGTGAAAAACCAAAACAATCTTTGGGGGCCCCCATTCAGCCGGTACAGCAGCTCACCGAAATCAGCAACTCAGCCACGCCAGGTACGTGCCCAACTTTGGTTGAAGTATTTGTATGGTTCGGCGGTAATTAGCATTTAAACAACAAAACATATAGCTATGGTCCTTCAGTCCACGTATTGCAAAAGAATTAACTAAAATACAAACATTTTTTGGTCCTTCGAGCCGGATGTGAATCTTAAAATTTATCAAGGTTTAAATTAATTTTCGCCGTAGTTAGGTACCATTTTGCATTATTTATTAAAATAGTTCGTGTTCCTTTGTGCGGCACTGCGATAAAAATTTATCACATAACTTTGACTTTCAACGCTGTTATCGCAGGTGCCAGTCAAGGGGCCGATATTGTTCAAAACAACAAGCCAAAACTTGAAAATCATAGTAATTACGTTCTTGTAAAGTTTCCACCTTTGACTGAAAAATTGCACAACGAATAAACTCTATTTTTTGTTACAGTTAGATATCTTGCCATATGATTTTTAAGTAATATTTAAGTAAAGTCAGAGAGTTTAGGTACGAACTGGATTTTGTCATTGGATCAATTATAAATAATACAAAAGATGAAGGTGGGTTGTTGTTAATATAGTGGATTTTGGAGTAAATTAGTAGAGTATTTTGTACTGAGCCATTTGATGTTCTGTTGTTCAGGGAGTCCCAAATTTAGTCAATTTAGATGTGAGCTTTGTTTATTCTTTGCTCATCGCAAATAACTTTGGAAATTGCTTATTCCATAAATATCTTTCGAATTTTGAAAATTTTCGTTAATCAGTTACAAGCAAATAAAAATTCATTATAATTATCCGATTATGAGTTTAAATAGAATGGAGCAGCGACGTAAGGTTGCTGTTACGAGAATAAGTGAGACTTACACATTAGCTATCAAATCTCAAACCGATTCCTCTCAGCATAACTTATTCAAAATTAAGTATGACAGTTTAGAAGAAGTCTATACATCATTTAATGAACTTCATAACGAAGTTATCGGTTTAATTGATGAAAAAGAATTTGAAGCACAAGATGTAATAAGGAAAAGTACCGATGAATTTTATTTCAAAACAAAAGAAATATTTAATAAATTATTCCCCAGTAAGGAGAACCACAGCCTTGTGTCAATAAACAGCCAGGATGAAAAAATAAAATTACCAAAAATAACCATTCCTGTTTTTGATGGCACCATGTTAAAATGGCCTACTTTTTATGATCTGTTTTCTGCTTTGGTGCATAACAATTCCTCTTTAGCAAACATACACAAATTTCAATACCTAATTTCATTTGTACAGGGGGAACCCTTAAACCTTATTAAGTCAATTCAAACCACAGATGCCAATTATTTAATTGCATTTAACACGTTAGTGAATCGATATCAAAATAAAAGAATTTTAGCTGCGTCATATTGGCATGAGATATATAACGTTCCTTCCATGAAAACAAGTTCTTATAAGGACCTTCGGAATCTTTTAGATGTATTTACTGAAAATTTGTCTGCCTTGCAGGTATTAGAGTTTCCTGTCCAACATTGGTGTTTCATTCTATTTAATTTATTATTGCAAAAACTCGATAGTGCCACACGAACAGCCTTTGAAGTGAAGTATACTGAAAAAGATATACCTACCTACAAAGACCTTAAAGAGTTTCTGGAAAAGCAGTGTAAAGCCTTAGAATCAGTTCAGTTTGTTACTTCACAATCAAACTCTAGTTCCCCTGGTAAATTTTCAAAACCTTCGAATTCCGTAAAACCTAGTTTTTCTAAAACTCCAGTAACATCCGCATTGCTTGTAAACCAGAATGCACCTCCAAAAAATCTACCGTTGAAAAATAATAGTAACCAAAATCAGGCTGCGCGAAATAATAGCCAAAATTGCAAATTATGCAACCAAATGGCACACCCGTTAGCTCAGTGTCCGGAGTTTATTTCCAAAACCCCGTCTGAAAGATTTTCCTTTGTAAAACAGAATCGTGTTTGTATAAACTGCCTTAGATACAATCATTTGTTGAAAGATTGCACTTCTTCGTTTAATTGTCGTGTTTGTAGATACAGGCATCACACTATGATGCATCTACCTCAAACCGTTGAGACAAATAGAACAAATGCACAATCCGACGCATTCATAAACTCTTCGTCGCACTCGATTAATGCTCAAAGCTCTCCTCAGCCGTCTAAAACTAATGCAAATATTTCTGCACAATCCTTACACAACCAAAGTAATTTATCGTCGGTACAGGCAAGTACATCCCAACCCGAAAATCAGGTTCAAAACTACTGCACGTCATTAGCAAATGCATTTACTCAAAGCACAGTTTTGTTGTCTACAACAAGAGTGGAAATTTTGGATTCTAAAGGAAACTATCAAATCGTTAGAGTAGTCCTAGATTCTGGTAGCCAAGCAAATTTCATTAGCCAAAAGTGCCTAAGTCAGCTTGGTCTGACAAAGAAAAGATTCTCAATACCAGTTCAAGGTCTTAATGGAGCTAGAGCTTGTACCAACGGAGTAGCCAGTTGCAGTATTCGCCCCGTAGGTCAAACCCAACCTACATTTTGCTTTGATGTCTTGGTTCTTCCTAATCTTTGTACAGAGATGCCCTCTCACATTATAAATACCAACAGTTGGTCGCATATATCCAATTTAAAGTTGGGTGACGATCGATTCCACATCCCAGCACCAGTAGATCTTTTACTAGGTGCAGAAGCTTTTGCTCATATCCTAAAGGAAGGTCGCGTTTTAGGACAACCAGGGCAACCCACTGCGTTAGAAACTGTATTTGGTTGGGTTCTTCTAGGAAAAACTCAGGAGGTGTTAACGCCTTCCGTTCATTTGCAAACTTATTTTTCTTCATTTGATTCCTCCCTTGATAGTGATATTCGAAAATTTTGGGAATTGGAAGCAATCGCAGCGAAACCACAGATAGCTCCGGAGGAAGAAAAGTGTGAAGAGATCTATAGAAAAACTGTGTCCAGAGACCCCTCGGGTCGTTTTATCGTATCTTTACCCTTTCGTCATAGTGAGCCCGATCTGGGAGACACCTTCACCATGGCATACCGTAGTTTTAAATCTTTAGAAACTCGTTTAATTAAAAACCCTGAGTTGTATAACTTGTATTCGGAATTCATGAGAAATTATTTGGAAAATGGGCACATGACTCTAATTGCTTCTGACGAACCCAAGCCAATACACTCTTGTTATCTGCCTCATCACGGAGTGATTAAGGTAGAAAAAACCACTAGTAAGGTCCGTGTCGTTTTTAATGCCTCAGCAAAAGGTTCCAAGGGAATCAGTCTGAATGATACGTTGCTTCCCGGTCCAAAATTGCAAGCTGATCTTTCTGGAATCTTAGTTAAATTTCGTGTGTTTCCTATAATTTTTCTGGCCGACATTAAACAAATGTATCTGCAAATACAACTTACGCCTGAACATCGAGATTATCAGAGGCTAATTTGGCGGTTTAATCCGAATGATCCCATAAAGCAATATCGTCTCAACACGGTTACTTTTGGCGTCACCTCCAGCCCTTATTTGGCAATTAGAACATTGAAAGAGCTGGCAAAACAGGAGAGATCTAAGTATCCGAACGCTGCTGATATTCTTTTGAATAATACTTTTATGGATGATATCTGTGCTGGCAGCGACTCTCTGGAATCTGCTTTGGCCTTACAGAAAGAGATAATTGCCCTGCTTAAAGCCGGTGGGTTTGAGCTGAGGAAATGGGCTAGCAACCATTTTAAATTATTGTCGTCTTTAGCTGCTGCCGATTGTCAAGTTCCCGTTTCGTTTGATAGAGAGGTTTCTAGTAATATAAAAGTTCTTGGTCTTCTTTACAACCCCTCTGTCGACAAGTTTTCGTTTTCCCATAGTCCATCTAATAAACCCCCTACGAAAAGGAATATTTTGTCAGAAATTGCCCGAATCTTCGACCCTTTAGGCTTCCTTTCCCCGGTAACATTTTTGGCAAAACACATTATGCAGCGACTTTGGATTTCTGGCATAGGTTGGGACGAGATCCCGGCCAAACCAATTTGTGACATTTGGGTGCAGTTTAAACTGGAACTTCCGAGGTTATCACAAATTTCATTACCGCGTTTTATCTTTGCCGAAAAACTACAAAGGTGTCAACTTTTGGGATTCTGCGATGCTTCAGAAAAAGGCTATGCTTGTGCAGTTTATCTTCGAATTGAATTACCAAATGACACCGTAAAATCTTCTTTAATTATAGCAAAAAGTAGAGTCGCGCCTCTTAAGACGGTCAGCCTTCCACGATTAGAATTATTGGGTGCTGCCTTGTTGGCAGAGTTGCTTAAATTTATTATTGACCTTCTTAGCAAGCTAATTTCTATCAATGAAGTGTTGGCTTTCACGGATTCTCAAGTAGTTTTAGCGTGGTTATCCAGCTCGCCGCACAAATGGAAAACCTTTGTTGCAAATCGGGTTAGCCAAGTTCAGGAAACCATACCCACGGTACCCTGGTATCATATTAGTTCTGGGGAAAACCCAGTAGATTGCGCTAGTAGGGGTTTAACACCCAGCAACCTAATAAATCATCCCTTATGGTTTCAAGGTCCTCCTTGGATTTTACTTCCTCGAGCTGAATGGGATCTTGTGCCAATGGATGGATCCAATCTGGGAAAATCGGTGGCTCTATCCGAACAAAAAACCTGCACATTCGCTGTTACGCTGGATCCTAACCCATTAGATTGTTTAGTAACCAAATTTTCGTCTATACTTAAAATTCAACATATAATTGGTTACGTACTTCGATTTACTAGCAACACTAAGGCCAAGTCAAGAGATCATTGGGGTGTACTTACGGAAATAGAAAATCAAAATGCTCTTCGAATTTTAATCAGGCATGTCCAGAGTTGTTCTTTTTCGGATGTCATTTCACAACTTAGGACTCAGGCCTTAATACCGAAACCTTTTCGCAAGTTAGCTGTTTTTCTCGATGCAGACGGATGCCTCAGAGTGGGCGGTCGTCTAAAGCACTCCGATCTTTCTTTTGATGCAAAACATCCTTACCTTCTTCCTCGAAACCACAGATTAACGCATTTACTTATTGAAAATATGCACCGGAAACATTTACATGTGGGGTTAAATACCGTGCATTATCTTCTTAGACAACAATTTTGGATATTATCAGCTCGTCGAGCAATCCAAAAGGTGTTATCACAATGTGTAAAATGTTTTAGGGTAAAACCTAAAACCTTTACCCCATTGATGGGGGATTTACCTTCCTTTCGAATTTGCCAATTAAAATGTTTCTCTCAAGTTGCCTTAGATTACGCAGGTCCATTAAAAATAACTATGGGCAGGCACCGAGGTGCGAAGGTCATGAAGGCTTACGTGTGCATTTTTGTTTGTTGTACTACTAAAGCCATCCATATTGAACTGGTTTCGGACTTAACATCGGATGCCTTCATAGCTGCGTTTCGTCGTTTCGTTGCACGGCGCGGGAAATGCACCAACATTTTCAGCGACTGTGGTACAAATTTTGTAGGAGCTAGAAACCAATTAGAAAAATTATCTCAATTCGCCTCAGAATCTTTGCAAATTAGATGGCACTTCAACCCACCAGGCGCCCCACATTTTAATGGTCTGGCTGAAGCCGGCGTTAAATCAGTGAAATCTCATTTAGTACGTGTAATAGGTCAGCAACTTTTGACATTTGAAGAAATGTCGACACTTTTGACACAAATCGAAAGCCTTTTAAATTCGCGTCCTCTTTGTGCGCAAAGCTCCGACCCTAACGACTTAGTTCCATTAACTCCAGGACATTTTCTAACTCTTGAACCCTTAAATTCTTGTCCAGATGAGAATCTTGAAAATTTAAAATTAAACACTTTATCTCGATGGCAATTGATACAAAGACTACAATCTGATTTCTGGAGACGTTGGAAACTTGAGTATTTGAACACCCTACAACAGCGCACTAAGTGGACAGATCCTTCTGTAAAAATTCAATTAAATACTTTGGTTTTAATAAAGGATGACACCAAGCCACCTTTGCATTGGGCATTAGGCCGCATAGTTGAATTACATTCTGGCCCAGACGGCCAAACACGAGTTGTCACGGTAAGGACACAAAACGGACTGTTTAAGCGTCCTGTTATTAAATTATGTCCCTTACCTACTCAAGATCAATAAATAAGTACCAACCATAGATATGTTGTTTGTTGTGCAATGTCCTAAATTCAAATGAAAAATTTTTTTTTTTTTTGGTAAGGGGAAATATTTACAAGAGCAAATCTTGGGAATTTAGTTTAAAAATTCTATTAGTTGATTTTTTTTTTCCTTGTGGGTAATTGTGTTATAATTATGCATTTCTATTTGTAAAACATCCGTTTTAGTGGGCGGAAAAATGTTTAAACCTCAGTTGTTTCGGCGCGTAATTTTAAAATCATACAAGTACAATCGGGCACTCGGGCGGAGTCGCGAAAACACTTTAAAAATGAAGAGAGAAGGGGAGATAGAAGTTCTATGTGCGAACCAGTAAAGCAT